CATCCTTGAAGACATCAAATGGTGGAGATCTGCCATATCTTGTGGGTAATCAGAGTGTAAAAATGTGATTCTTCTTTCTGATTTGAATCTGTCTTCAGCTTCCAGTCCTTGTATCTGGCTTTGCCTTCTTCACTGGATAAAAGAGCTCTTTAAGGATTTTTTTGCCTCATGAAGGTATTTTTATACACCATGGTCAAAGCATCTCTCTGTTCTTTTTGTGGTAAGCTAAAAGGATGGAGCCCTTTAAGTCACTCACTGGCAGGCACTTTCTGCTGCAAATCATTTTTTCTCTCTTCCTTGTCTGCTCTGACTCTAAAATGCAGATGTCTGATTGTATGCATTTTTCTAGTATCATTCTTCTGATGCAGTATGCAGGATAAGTCACCTCCTGGCTTCTATTTGCTTTGTGTATTCAAGGATTCCATTTGCTCACATGCCACAGACTAGCACAGGAAATTATGTCTGTTTGCCTGTTTCTCACATTCACACCCTGCTTTCCAGTCTATGTTTCTCTCGCCTTTTTGGGCAACATTGTGTTCCCAGGTGTGGAACACCCATCATCTCTTGATTTCTGCCTGTAGTTGCCTGGAACAGCCCTCTTTTCCCTGAGGTGCCACTTTGGCCCCCTGGCCTTCAGCAGAAGCACAGCTAGCTCCTCCACATCCAAGGCTCCTGTATCAGGCTGTGCACAGAGGGATAATGGGCAGGCTTGGAACCCTGCCTGGTTCTTGGGGCTTCAGCCGSTGGTTGTTCTGCTTGTTCTGAAAGAAAATTGTGTGATTGCTTTTAGCTGCAGTTGGGGGATTGAATGACATGCGGAAGGAATAAATTGCTGCATGATAAGGAAGAGGCACATTAAGATTTGGAACAAAGAGGAAAATCTTGTTTCCACTCCCCTTTGTTATCTTTTTAAATTCCCTCATGTTTACTGTGCATATCACACATATTAATCGCTGAGCTCCTGCGGAGTATSCCATCACTTCAGCAGAGCCCTGGAAATACACTGAGGGGACACAGGATTTCTCCTCCTGTTACTTAAGCATCGGATTATCCACAGGGGGCAACTCCCATGGAGGCATTAAGTAAGCAGCCAGATCCCTACACAAGTTCATCTTACCCRGTGCGTGCCCTGCAGCTCTACAAACCTGCCCAAGTGTGTTACGCTGACCATTTGCAAACAGTGGCTGATTTTTGGCTCTGTGAACGGCAGCTCTTTTGTTCCTTCAAAACCTGGTTTTCCTCCCGGGGCCAAGCTCTTGATTCAGTCCCCGGGCTGCCTTAAAAGCGGGCACCTGAGGCTGCAGGGGCAGTAGGGCTCYCGGGAGGCTGAGCCAGGGCCAGCCTGTGTTTGAACTCACTCTGTGGCACAGCTGAGGGGCCCTGGCACCATCCTCCCCTTATGTAACCTGTTCTTGGCTTTACCTGTCCCTTGGGGAGGACCCTGCAGGGGAGCTGCAGCACCACTGTTCCCAACTCAAATGCTTGAGCCACTGTTAGCGGGAGAGAGCTGTTTACAGCCCGAGAGTCGCACACAGTGGCTTTGGGTGGTGTTTAAAAGAGTCAGAGTGAAAAATCAGGAATCACACTGGACCATGTTCCCAGATATCACAGCCTGAGAATACAACTTGTGTTTCCCTTTCCAGGACATCTTGTCACTCTCTTCAGGGACTACCTGCCCACAGGGCACCCCCATACACACATGAGCACTGGGGAAAGGAGCTGGGCTGTCCCCTTGCTGAGTCACAGGGTGAGCCAAGCTGTGAGCATGGGCCATGGGGACCAGCATGGGCAGCTGGGTGATTTGCAGCCACAGGCTGCATGCTGATGGGAGTGTCTGGAGAGTGAACCACGAGGCAGCAGTGCCAGTTGGTGGAGAAAGGAAAATTCAGAGGCTGGGCAGAGAGTGTAGGAAAGAGAAAGGGATAGCTGGGAATGAGGAGGAGGAGGAACAGGAAGTCCAGGGGCAGGAATGCTCAGGGTGTGGTAGGAGGATGAGGGAGCTGGCAGGCAGAGCAGGAGCAAAAAGGGTTGTCAGTGAAGCTTTGGATGAGTTTGGTTTTGAAGCTCTGTCAGTTTGGAAGTGCTTCACTTAGCCTGAGTTGCTTGACTTGGTGTTGGGTTCCCGTGATGAGACTGCACCTGGGTCTGGAKCTGCCATGGCAGCCCTGTATAGCCCAGTGTTGCTTCCTTCATCCCCAGCTCCCTGCCACACAGCCCATTCCAGATGTCATCTCCACACATTCCCCTCGGAGGATAATGGTGCCAGGCTGCAGAACTAAAGCTCTGGGGAAAGAGCTCTGCTCTAGGGGGCTATGGAAGATTTTTCTGCCTGCGCTCTTATTTTCAGGACACACAACCCAGAGCTGCTCCCAGTGATCTCAGCAGGGCCTTCCAACATAATTTGGGAAGAGCTTTTGCCAAAAAAAAAAAAAAAAAGGAAAGGAGAAGAAATGTTCTGGGCAGGAGGGTGGTCTAGATGAAAAAGGCCTGGCTTTAAACCTGTTAACACCATAAACAGGAAGTTTTCATGATGTACCTCAAAATGACTGAACACACATCACTGGAAGTGACACCTTTGTACTAATCTTTGTATTTACTTCAGCTGCTGCACTGTGCACCAGGCTCATGTCAGCTGGTGGGGCTACTTTCAAAGCTTTCTTCCTTTTAAACTCCAAAGTTAATTTACAACACAATCCAACAGAGAATGGAGTGCTTTCTGCATGGGGTGGGCATGTCCCTCAGCCATACCCATGAGTACATTAGGAGCCAGGACAGGAGTTCTGTAGGAAGATTGTTTGAATACAATTCAGTGAGGACCTGGTCTGCAGCCCCAAAGGCAGCTGTGCAGTGAAGCTCGCAGAGGAAGCTCGGAGGGATGTCACTTCACAGCATGCCCTTCGGCTCCTGGGGTTTTTCCTCTCCTTTTTCTTTGCCTTGTAGTGGCTGCAGCAAAGGCTCCATTATTTGGCAGTATGGCACTGCCTTTATCTATAAATGGAAGCAGTTGGCCTGTCTCCCAGTATAACACAGGATAGTCCTGTGCATCAGTTATGCAATCGGTAACTTGATGACTTCATCAGAAGCCGGGGGAGAGTCGGGGATGGTAGGAAACAGCCTTTACCATCAGCTCTGCTGGAGACAGCCCATCARTGTGTGTGTCCCCCCAAAGCAAAGCAAGCAGGAGCTCAGCGACAGCGGTGGGTGAAGACCTCAGTGCAGAAGCAGCTGAGGGATCCTTAGCGATTTTCTGACCCCAGTTTGGGGCAGACCCAGCTGCTGCTGCAGCCCTGGCCCTTAGGATGCTGCAGGGACCATGCTTGACTAGGTTGTAAAGCGCAAAGTGCAGTGTGGAATGGGATGSGGGGAGAAGTGGAAAGAGGAACAGGGAGGGAACTTTCAAACCAGGGCAGATGTTAAAAGGCAAAAGAACCTAAACATCAGAGAGCTGCCTTTTGGCAGAGAGCCCTTCAGGGAGTTTCTGTGTAAAGYAGAGACGTGGACAAATTGTATTTTGTTATTTCCTCAGAAGGGTCCTTGAAAACCTGACCTTCATGCAGACAGGCTGMTCCTCATTTCCCAAGCTACACTCCAGAACTGAGCTTAACCCTTTCCCTGACTGGATTGGGGTGGGTGCTGCAGTATCACATTTCTGCTTGTTCCTGATCAGTGACTGATATAATTTAAGGGGCTGGGCACACCGGGTTTTAAATACGGCATGAGGGGCGGCGCGGTGCCGGGTCTGGGCCCCCGGGAGCGCTGGCGCTGTCATGAGCCCAATTTGCCCTGGCCGCGGGACAGCCTGGGGCTGGGCAGGGGCGGCTCGGGAGACCGCAGCCGACTGCTGGGAATGCTCCCCGGAGAGCCCTGGAAGGCGTCGGCCCCGCTGGGCCCCGCTGGGCACGGCTTGGCCTCTCTGGGCCCCGCTCGGCCCCTCTCGATCCCGCTCTTGGCCCCGCTCGGCCTCGTTCAGCCCCGCTCGGCTCCTCTCGGCTCCTCTCGATCCCCCTCTCGGCCCCGCTCGGCCCCGCTCGGCCCCGCTCGGCTCCTCTCGGCTCCTCTCGATC